CTCTGTCGCACTCACAAAAGCCACAATTATCCCGTTTTTCGATGGGTTTATTTTGCAAGTGGATTCCCCCCGCAAATAGGAAATGAACAGCTATTGGAACGCATTTTTCCACGAGTTGGATCCGTTCATTTTTTCAAAATTGTCTTCAGCGTTACTGGTGTATACCTACAATTCAGAAAAATGGGTTTTGACCAGCTGATTAGGCATCGTTCTCAAGATGTGTTGGTACTCGGTGTTTCATTAAAAAAAAAGCTTTGACCGGGGTAAAAGTGAAAGCGGCGAATTCCGGAAGCTTTTATAATGAGTTCCCCTTTGTTTCGACTGGAGCAAATCCTGGATTTACTTAGTCCACTAAAAAAAGCGCACGGTGGGTGGCACTTTATCCGTTCGTTACGAATATATTTAAATGAGTTTCCAAACCAAAATAAAGAAGCACGCGACAAAATCGGATTAAAACGGCTAAAACGCAAGAGACTGTATTTTTGCTTTCACTTCGCCTTTATTTTTTAATAAAACACACATTTAGAACGGGCTCGACGAAATTACATCTGAAAAGTTAAGCCTGTGGTGTATTTGTAAAAATTGTAACAACGAGCTGGCCCTTCGATACATCAATTTATCGGTGACTAACACGCGAAAAAAAGCCTTGATCCCAACATGCATTATGTAAGTCAACGCACAGGTCACATCAATTTGTTTGCTTGACAATCTATCCCGTGTCTCTAAATATATAGGAACACACACACACACCCAGTGAAAAATAACAAGCACTTCCGCCACGAATAATCCCGAATTTAATATCGTCAGGAATTTTAAATTTCCCGAGCTGCTCTCCCCTAAATCTTTTCTACTTTCGTCTTTTTAAGACTAAATGCGTCACTCGAGTGCTCCAAATAAGTTATATTAAGCTGCAATTCCCGCTGTGGAGTAGAATCCCTTGGGATATCCTTAACGTTTTAAAAGTGATTGTGTCTTCTCCAAAAGTAATATACTTTCTGACACCGAAATGCACTACAACGTAAATATCAATTTAACACTGTTTGTCATAAATTTCACAAGGGCCAATAGAAGCTTAAGATAATCTGCTTGAAACGGACATACCATTAAAAAACGACACTAAATTAAAAACTTCCAAGAAGCATAAGACCACCAAAAAACCCTTTCAGAACCAAAAGTACCAACTGCTACACAATGAATCCTTTTGAAAAAATATTCCTTAAATGTTTATTAAATTCAGAGGTACAATAACAGTCAACAAACGAAAAACAAACAGAACATATAATTTCGTACATCGTACTAAATGCCTTCGGTGTTGTATCCCAGGTGTAGCAGGTACATAAGTTTGTATCTGTCGAGTTTGTTCTTTGTCGGAAGCATGAGAAACCAATTATTTAACATACGAGGTATAATTACCCATTTCCCACGTCGCCGTGGGAAAAGGTCGATTTAGAGTGTCTTCTGATCTCTGCTACACATTTCGCATTTACTTTCTCGAATTATTTGCTTATGCGACTGTAGATACTAAAATTTTTCTTGGGAATGGTTACGACATATTTTAGGGAACCTCCTTTAATTTTCCAAAACCTTCTTGTATTATCTTAAAGCCCTCCAATGTTATTAACAGAAAGTTATTATTGTCCTTTGATTTTCCTAAAATTTTACCACTTCCCGTATTTCCTCAAGTTTTCAATTTAAATCTCGTTTGCTACTCGTTGCGCCATCTGTGTATTTCTAATGCAAGTTCCTTGTGGTTAGATCAATTTTATCGATGTTATTTAGTTTACCCGACGTGACAAACGTTAGATTTTTCTCGCACTTTTTATTTGGTTGCAGATTATGGGCAAAAATTGTTCCTTTTTTTATAACATTTTCCCTGACAGACATTTTCATTGTCTCCGCTTATTGGAGTGCCTTAATTTTCCCTAATTCTAATAACAGTAGTTTTTAATTTGTCTCTTTTCCACGAAATTTTCTCTTTGTCCTCAAGACCTTAAATTACCCGACAATTTCTTCTAATTTTGCTAGTTTATTTAATACTTTTTACTTATTTATTTACTTAAATCCCGGGTACTTTCCCGAAACTTTCCTTTGTTTCTCAAAATTTCTGTAGATTTTTTTAAATTGATTAACTACACATATCTTAATTACTTTTCCACATTTTTCTATCTTTCCACAAACCTTGTATTGTCTTAACTTTCCTCAATTTCGTCAATAGTGTTTCATTAAGAAAAGTAAACATTTCCCAACATCCTCCTCCTATTCCTCAAAATTTTCTATATTACCCGAGAATTTCTTCTAGGTTCGTTAATATTCTTTTATTCACTATATGGATCCGATTTATTTTTGACCGACAAGAGTTTTCTCCGTGACTAAACATTGGAGTGGGTCACGAAAAATTTTAGGCAAACAAATTTTAGTAAGATTTTCTCATTCCTCCCGAAATTTCATATCATTCCTCAATTCGTCTTATATTAGTGGAGAATTTCTTTTAATCTCACGAAATTATTTTTATTTACTACCAATAAATATCAGCTATGTATTCACAGTGTTGTTTATAACTGTGAGAGACAACAATTTCTTCGGGTTTGTACATAAAAAATTTTAATTGACATTTACCATTTCCCCTTTACGTTTTGCCAAACCTTTTATTGCTTTAAATGTTCTGAAATACTGTTTTAAAATTTGAAATTGTTGTTTAATTACCCCGAAATTTTCCGATTTTCTTCAAAATTCCCTTGTCAAGAATTACTTGTTGATTTTCTAATATTTATTAGGTACATTTCGCAGTTTCCTATGCGAATGTGAGAGAGAAGTATTTTGTCCGTGATCAATCAGTTTGGTAATCTGAATCTTGTGTATTCATTTCCCTGAAATTTCATCTTATTCCATAAAATTTTCTTATATTACCCGAACATTTGTTCTAATTTTTAGAACTTTTTTTCACAGTTAGGCACGATCGGAGTATAGATTTTTTAATTTGTTCTTTTCTCCCAAATTCTTTGACATTTACTTATGTAAAATGGGAATTCCTCCCAATTTTCTCTTACCTACTGTATAAATACCAGTTATTTTCTCGGATTTTGCTATGCGCTATGACAAAAATGCCTCGTGATTAATAAATGGGGTCGGTTACGACACATTTTAAGTGACAAAAAGAAACGTTACAGTGTTGCGGGTTCTAAAAACCGTTACGACGGAGAATGAGAGGAGTATTTTCTACTATACCTTCGCATGCATTAAAAACAGAATAACCTCTTGGTTTGTGGTGGGGTCTCAGGTCTGTTTCGTAATTTTGTATTTGGCGAGTACTTAAGTAAAAATGTGGTGGTAGAGAGGGATTCTTATTCAAACCTTCGAAGGGAACCTATGCGAACCTATGAAATTCTTTGTCAACCTTTCAAGGCGAATATTGCGAGTTGTGTACGCCATTTTGGAGATCGCCAAGTTCTTATGGTAAATTAAAAGCTTGAACCGAAAGCCGTATAACTACCGTCTTACCGTGCAACTAGAGATTTGTGCCACTATTTGGACCTGCGTACCTTATATATTCAGTGATAGCTGCCCTTTCGAACAAAAAACCAATGATAGGAAGGCCTAAGGTGCTAATAACATTACAAATAAAACGCCAACCGGATAAATTTGTGTTTTCGGTAGCTGCAAATAATGCATAAATAAATTAAATTGAAACTAATAAATTGTGAGAAGCGTGAAACTAATTCTTTTTGTGCTGCCTTCAATTTCCCCAATCTTATTATAACTTTTCCTTTAAAAGTCGTCGCTTAGTCTTCCTATACCTTACTAATTTCTCCAAAATTTTCTTTATTGCACGGGAATTTCGTCTAATTTTGTTCTATGCGACTGTGAGGGACAAGAATTTCCCCGGTTGTTAAACTGGGGGGTTGGTTACTACGCTTTTTGCTCTACTTATTCCTTTAATTTCCGCAAACTCTTTGGATTTCTTTAAATTTACCCTATTTCATTAACAGTAATTATTTTGAATTTTCTTTTCCTCCCCATTTTGTTTTCACAATTTCTTTCTATGAGAATTTTTTCCATTTATTTCGCCGTTACATAATCTGCTCTTTAATGTAGTGTTAACGGAAAATTTAAACTGCAGGTTATCTGTACAAAATGCCCATACTATAAGTAACGCAAAATAGCGTTTTTATGTAGATAAACATCACATCATGTCTGATTGTCACGCATTTAGGTACCATGACTATAAAAGACAAGATTTTCCCCCGTGATGAGCCCATTAGGTTAGTTACGAAACTTTTAATGGAACTAAAATCTTCTTTGCTCCCTAAAAATGTTCTACACTTTATTTTTCCAAATCTTCTTGTATTGCCTTAAACCACCTTAATTTCATTCGTTCAATCAACAGCTCTTTAGTGGTTTCTAAGTCTCCAACAGGCCTGTAAGACTTCTTAAGGTATTTAACAGCAAATTTAACATCTCAACACTGAAAAGGCTTGCAAGGATCTGTAAAGGTTTTTGGGTTTCGGTTAATAACAAACATCATTGTCCAAATATACAGTGACATTATATCCAAAATGGGTGCCACTACGGTTCCCTTGTTATGATGTAAGTATAAAAGTTAGAAATTTTTCAGATGACCATTGACTTGATTTATGCACGTAACGCGGATGCCCATTAAAATTACACGGAACGCTCCCCGCTCCTGTTTGTAATCATTATATCGGAACTAATACAACATGTTGTAAGTTTATTTGAAATAGCTTACATAAACAATTATTCAATTTTTAAAAAAATGTAACAAAAATTGTTATTCGCAATGGCGTAACTAAATGCGAGCGAATTAAAGTCAAGGTTACATTTGCATTTCTTTACCTAAGATGTAGATTTCTTTTTATTCAAATACTGTAAGGTGGAATGCATAACAAATAATGAAGAATGAAAGTGAGTATATCGCGAATTTGGTATAAATAAACGGATATTGTTTATCAATAGTCAGTTAACGTTAACACCCATTCCAGGCAGCAAAATGTACATTGTGAGTGTACACCTGGTGAAATTACCGTTATTCAGCATTTAATTTTAGAGCTTGGTGGTAATCAGCGCAGTGGTTTTGGGATGCAGTGCCCAGCACTATGGCTATGGACAGGAAGCGTCGTCCTGGTCCGGACATGATGGTGGTCATGGCGGTCACGCTGTCGACTACTATGTAAGTACTCCCGCTTTTGATATCGCTCTAGTAATGGCATCTGCAGGCACATCCCAAATATGAATTCAAATACGGCGTGGACGATGCTCACACCGGTGACCACAAGAGCCAGTACGAGGTACGCGATGGAGACGCAGTCCATGGGGAGTACTCCTTACACGAGGCCGATGGTACCATTCGCACTGTGAAGTACACAGCTGACCACAAGAACGGTTTTAACGCACAGGTTATCAGATCTGGTCACGCCAGTCACCCACAACACTACGCCACTCATGGACATGGACACTATGGCCACTACTAATTTCTTGTAAAGAAATCCTAGATCAATTTCAATTGTATATAGCTAAATAAAGATTTTTTAACTGTTTGCTTGAAGTATTTTGACTTCAAAACGTATGCAAAATTGTATAGTTCTAAGCAATGGAGCACGAATGCCAGAAAACCATCTGTAGTTTTAAAACTCCAAAATGTCATCAGCCCTACAGGATTATTTTATTAAAGTGTTTCCGTTAGTTTAACTATATTTTCTAACTTAGTGGGTGTACTCTCTTATTTTTAAAAATTTCCTTATCTTCTCCAAGATTTCTTCTAATTTTTACTATTTCTTCAACCGTTCCCACCATATCCTCCCCGCCATGCTCCAGTAGGTAATATGTTCGATATTATTGAACTCCATAACTTTATTCCAATGAATTGCTTTAAAAAGGTGCAAACCGACACTTTTTCTGTTCTAATATAAAGGGGACCAGCAAGTTCCAATCCAATTATTAATTCAAATATTGCTGCATCCGCTACTCTATTCTTTGGTAATGGTAATACAGGTGTCTCGTATGTAATTCTTCGATTCGTACCTTCTGTATACAGTACATTTAGAAATAACATTTTTGATTGTTTTCCTTCCTTTGATGATCCAAAAGTTTTCTCTCCAACATGAAATTAAACCTTAAGTACCAGTATAGCAATTTTTAACGTTATAATGATCAATCGAGCGACTACGCGGTGATTGGATGGAAGAATCAAAGAGTATCTAAAGTTTTCGGTATCTTCTCTTTCTAGGATTTTTGTTTCTATACTCTCAAAATACCATCAGGGTCGATTTTTGTATTAATAGATTGTAGAACTTGATCTTCTAAATTAGAAAAAGATTCCTCTTGTTTCATTCTGACAACACATTCTTCTGAATTCTGAATCTCACATACTTTACACGGTAATAATTCCAACGCCGAATGGAGTAAACGGAAATAGCTCAAATTCAGGATATGCTATGGGGAGATCCTGAATTTTACTTATTTCTCACATACTACAAATATTTGGATTTTACGATATTAGTGTTACCATTTCTAAGTTTTTTTTACAATTCGAAGTAAATCTTCTGATCCATGCCACCGAGTTAAGTATTTGTTGGTATTTCAAAAAATATATGTAATACCAATCGGAAATCTTGTCGCAGTTTACTAGTGTTGATACATGTTTTTTTCTTTCTTCTGCAATGCTGTTTTCATCTACTTCATAACATTGCTTAGGCCATTTCAATGGATCTCCATACAGCCAAAATAGACCCTGTCACCATTTTGACTCCAACAGTTGTTTTGGAGAGCAACATTTCGAAGGTAAGTCTGCAGGATTGCACTCTCCGGGGACGAAATTTCAACTGTCAATTTTTGTTGAAGTTTTCCATTGGTTTTCCTTTCGTATCCAAGACAACACAGTACTGGAATCTGACCAGCACAAGCCAGAACATTACGAAAATCCACGATTTCTAAAACAGTAGAAAGGAATCTAGCTCCAATGGTAGCCGCCATTAGCTCTAATCTCGGAATGCTCATTTTCTTTAGGGTGCAACTCTGGATTTTGCTTGAATCAATTAGATATTGATTTCAGATCTCAAAAATACAACAGCAGAATAGACGTAAGCTCTAGTTCAGTTCTATTATATCTTCTTTAATCCAGTATTGAAATACTAGATCGCAACGTTTGTAATGTCCATTTTTATATTTTTCAATTAAATTATTCTAACGGTGGCTTTAAAGTGGGCCATGACGGCTAACTCCTTCTCTATTTGGGATTTTGCTTCAACAGAATCCGTAATACCAAGGACATCTAATTTCCATAAATTGGAAATATCGTTCTAAATGTAGAAAAAAGTAGTGGAAAGCATTGTTGAATTTAAATTTGAAGAATCTTTAGCTGCATCTGCAAGTGTCCATCCAATTCCACTGGAATTAATCCACAGTTTAATAGATCTCTTCCACCAGTTAATAGTTTGGCTGCTACATTAGCACCAATTAGAACATCAAGAAGTCCAGGTGTTCCTGTCGGTGATGGTCATACCAAGATTTTCCAATTCTTTCATCCATGGTCCATTGGAAACAGCTGTTTATTTATTTATCAAAAGTGCATTTAAAATTACTAATAAGGTTATCAAGTTGAATTTTGTACGTTTTGTGTATTAGGCTTTTGTTTCAGTGCCTCCAAATAAGGGATGTACAAGTTTTTCTTCTCCAATTGGTGTTAACTTCAATTCTTCAGTCAGGAACTTGTTTATATAGGATATTAGAATTTCTCAGGACTATTTTGAGTAATTGTCAACATACTCAACAAGTAATTCATCTTTCCCACATCTACTCTTCAAACTGTCTAAAGTTTTACTGTAGTTATCCCCAATTTATGGGTAGCTTTCTACTGTTTGTCTTACTTTAGATTTCGGGATTGTTGCTTGTATCAAAAATTGATATTCATCTTCAGTATCAATTGTTTGATCATCGTGAATTCTTTTGAATTGGCTCCAGAAGGGCAACCAATCCTTGAGATCATCTCCGAATCCCTTAAATTCAATTTTAAGGTATTTCAAATTAGATTTTGAGCTGTTGGACCCAGATTTCACACTTAAATTATTAATACCACCACTAACAGTGAAATTATCAATCTTACATTTGATGATATTAAATCTAGATCAACAACATCGCTCTTTTTCAGAATCAATCTCCTAGGCAGAACAGTCTGAATCGATCATACTCTATTTTGCTTAGAAGCAAATACAGTAAAATTACCTTGAATGAAGTTAACATCAGGACTGGAACTTTCCAAGGATTTCAAAATCAAATTGTAGAATTTGTCAAACGATGTTCGATGAAGTTCAAGCAGTTTCTGGGCTCTCTCCATCATCAAAACAGGTACTTACGGTCGCCAAAAATTGTAGAAACCATTGACTGTGTTTTCTATCTAGGTATTAAGATGAGGTATTGCTAATAAATTCTGTTGAAGTTCTTTCGTAAATTTTTATTGACAATTGGACAACAATTCAATTACTATTTAAAAATACATCAAAATCAAATATGTAAAGCAAATTCACCTCCTATTGAAATAATAGTAGTGGAAACCTCGTGTCTTTAGTGTTCTCCTGGCGAACAGTATATTCCATTATTTACTGTAATATGCCAGTGACTCTGCCTTGAAAAAGAAACATTTCATGAATATTAAAGAGCTTGTAAAGTTAGGAAAGATTAATGCGTAGTGAACCAGAAACAGATACCTACTCTGTAATTTCCAATCGGTTTAAACTACAATTGATTGTGCGCGCCACCCCTAAATTTATTGATGGGCATTGTTATGCCTACCTAAATTATATTAACGGATTTTTAACCTTTAAATTGGATCGTTTAATTTAATTTGTATCATACCGCAGATGTATACGATTTTTTTCAATGTAACAAAAAAGATTGGTGACACACTCCGACCCTTTAACGTTAACGGATATAGTTTAACATAAAGCGTGTATTTTGGAAAGCGACAACAAATCTACTTACACAAACGCTTTGATGTCGATTGAATGTTTACGTGGTGCCAGTGTAGTTGCACTCAAATCTGCCGAAAGGAATTTATTTGAAAATATACAGGTCAAAGATTACGCTGTGTGAAAATTTGCGTAGGAAAAAGTGGGACTAGGTGAACTGAAAACAACACTCAGGAGGCGCCTTCTGCTAGTTTATTTTAATGCATTCTCTGTGCGTAGTAACTTACATTAATTTATGTTAATATATTCCAGGTTTCAACTGTATATGTTTAGTTGGTTGGAAGGAGCTAATAGTTTATTACCTACAATTACCGTTGGGGAGGATTTTGTCATTACCAATTCACGTTACCTACCGCCGTTTTATATCAGTCAATTCGAGTTTAAGGTGCTCTTTGGATTTAATGCGACCGAATCATCTGATGAGGGTTGCCAAATATGCGGTTTTCAATTTTTTTTTGTGAGCAAGCGGTTGCGTCCCTTTTCTTGCACCATCACTAACCTTCGATACCAGTTTCGTTGAAACCCGGACATCACGCATCTACACATGCACCCAAGTCAAAACAGAGAAGTTGAGAGCGAATTTTTGTTTTGGTTTATTGAACATTCGTTCATCACAGTCGGTCAACAGCACCTCATGCAAATGAAATTTGAAATAACTGCCTTCAAAAAGTACTTGATAAGCATCAGTTGCTTCTATAAAAGTAAATATTTGCCCCAACATTGTGAGAATCTCAATTAAGAGATCTACTGAAAGACTTTCAAAGACGATATAAATTTAAGACAAACAGCAAATTTAATAAGAACTGGCTTTGAATTTTTAGATTTATGCAAACGTCCGTCTTTATGCGAATTTATATTACATAACTGCCACGGTAGCAATTCGTCATTATTTTCAAACAAAAAAAGGAATTGATCCGCACGCACAAATTCCTGAATAGGATATAGTAAATCCAATAATTGGACGTCTTTTTGCGATAAAAAGTAATCACTAAATCCCTATAAGGTATAAAATCAAAGCAATTCCAAAACAAGTTTTTATTGCTTTTTTCGAATTGTTCCGCAAAACACACGACGTGCCTTTGATATCATTTAAAATGATATAAATTGTACTGCGATAGGAACGACACCGTTGGGACTTAAAATCGTACACTGAGAAACAACGGGAAAAGATAGCCACGGTTTTTCGTTATTGTAGACAAAGGGCGTCTTCTTGTAGAAAACTTGTACGTATACGGTTTAAAAATCCACCGATCTCCCAAATTGAACGTTGTCTTTAATTACTAATGCGTAGCTCTTGCGTGCTTAAAATATTTATGCGTGTACGTCTTTTCAAAGGTTTCAAACTGGAGTAATGTCACGAAGTGCGGTATATTAAAGGGGTTAAAGGTCTAATTCTAAAGATGGTAAGCGAAAACTATTTCGTAAGGGTGGTCTCAAAATTATTACGAAACTATTTGAAACTAAATTTGTTCTAAATATTTCCGATAGATAGGTATATTTCTTCCAGACCCAATCGCCCTTTGTGAGTACCATCCCACGACAGTCTGTTCTTAAGATATAACCAATTATTTATA